GAAGTACAAGGAATGATCATCATTTGCAGACAATACAACATTGGGTGGAATAGTGATTAAGATCCAGGACCATCTTGAACACTGGGCTGAGAAAGCAACAAAATGAGATTCAATAGGGAAAAATGCCAAGTCCCCACCTAGGAAAAAGAAGCCAAATTCATCCATTGAGGTGGGGAATATGTGGCTCAACGGAACTGAAAATGAAAAATAACTTGGACTTATTGGAGGTAAGGAGGATAGCTAATAAGATGGGTCTTTTCAGTAGCTGCACCCCACCTTCCAAGAGCAATTTGCCTGGCGTTCTTGTATGCTCTCTTTGGTGCCAGGCAAAAACAACCCTATTTTCTAGGCATTGTAATAACTGATTTTATCTTGATAGTCTTTAATCAATTGCCCTTAGTGGTATGTTGTTTTTATGGTCACTGCTTTTGTATTTTAACTGTTTGCTTTTGTTATTGCTAGGATATTTTTTTTAACTGTTTGCAATCCACAGAGGGCCCTCAGGCCAATTTGGCAGAAAATAAGCCAAATAAATAAATGTGGACAACAGGCTAAATATGAGCCAGTAATGTGATGCAGCTGCAAAAAGGGCAAATACTATTTTGGGATACATTAATATAAGTATTACTTCCAAATGACAAGAATAGTTCCTCTATGCTCTTAGTCAGACCTCATTTAGAATATTGTGTTCAGTTCTGAGCATCAAGGTTTGAGAAAGATGCAGAAAAACTAGAAAGAGTCCAGGAAGACAGGAAAAGTGATCCCAGTTTTGGAAACACTGCCCTATAAGAAGAGTCTGAGAGAACTGGGTATGTTCAGGCTAGAGAAGAAAAGTTTGGGGGAGGGGGCATGTTATCACTCTATAAATATCTCAAAGGCAGTCACAAAGAGGAAGGACAAGATCCCTTCTTGATCACACCACAGTGTATGACATGGAATAATCATCTCACGTTGTGACAAACCAGGTTCAGGCTGTATATCAGGAAAAATTTCCTAACTGTCAGGGCAATATGACAGTGGAACCAGTTGCCTAGAGAGGCCATGGGCTCTCCCACACTGGAGACATTCAAAAAGAAACTGGGCAGTCATATGCTTAGGACGGTGTAAATTGGTGTCCTGCAACAGTAGGGGGTTGGACCTGATGGCATTCCTGGTCGCTTCCAATTCTGCTATTCTATGCACTCTGTCCAATGCTGAAATCCAATTTAGTTGCTACCTGCCAAGAAAATAACTCCAGAAATCCAATCAACACAGGTTGAGTGTATATTTCCAGACCCATTCTAGAGAAATGCTGTTAACCTTTAAATCCTAAACGGTTTGTGGCTAGGCTATCTGAAGGAATGCCTTGCCCCATATGACTCCATGTTCAAAGGAGATGGAGATCTTATTTGCCTAAAATCTATTATCCTTCCGGGGCTCAGAGATAAGCCGGTGTCCTTACATTGCTTCTTACTGATTTGCATATGACCCTATAGTGCTCCTTTCAAACAACTCTTAGAAATATGTTTTGGGTAACTGTTTCTTAATGTTTTGATATTGCAGCTCTGATACCAATTAGGATTAGTTTGAATTGTCCGTGGTGTGATACAACCAATGTTTTGGTATAAGTTGCTGTTTTTAGTGTGCTATAACTGACTTTAAAATGGTTGTTTGCAAATAGTGCTATTTTATTAGGTTTTTTACATATATAATCTGTCTTGTAAAAGCTATGCCTTAAACCAGGGAGGGAGAACTTGCAGGCAGTCCCCATATGGTCTGCCAGTTTCTTCTGCAGTTCCTACCTCTATCCTAGCAGGTTTCTCTGATCAGTTGCCTTGTCTCTGGGCAGCAGGAAAAAAGTTCGTATGTTTCAAAAGCTTCTCACTGCAGGAGAGAAGGGGCAGGGCCTAAGGAGGAACCTGCTGAAGCAGAAATTCAGCAATTGAAGAGTGGGTGTGTGTATGTGTGGGGGAGGTGTTTGCATCTCTGCCTGCCACATAATAGTTAATGCAACCAGCCCATGTTGGCCCTCCTTTTCTGACATTCTCTGCAGCAAATTAAAATGTACTAGCAAGGTATTTGGGATGCAGCACCAGCAGTTACTTCTGTCCTGTTAGAACATGGTCTCTTTTGCTGAAGAAAGCATGAAAAAGGATGGCCACTCAAGCACCCTTGTGAAAGTTGTCTTTACTGCATAGCCAGAGAAGCTCTCACAGACCAGGGTTCTAGTTATTACAAAGAGAATTACTGAGGTCAGATCGCAATATTTAAATTTGCTTTGCCTCAGCAGTATACATGGCAGAGAATCTATATTTTGAATGTTGCTTCTAAGATACACACTTGTAAGAGATCCACCCCGCTCCCCTCCACACACACACTTGTGTTTGAATCATTTTCCTCAGATGCTTGAGTCATGTTTACTGGATGCAAATTCTTTAGTGGAACATGCTGCTCAGCCATAAACCTTGACTGGGCAAATCCAGAACTACCAAATACAGTGTATGAGAAGCACAGCTCTTCTATAACAATGTAAAGCAAACATACCAAAATTGCTCACATACTCTACCCCAGACCTGTGTGTAATAATGGATTATAATACTATCCATTGTTAGTTAAGCATGTGTGCATGTACACACACCTAGTCATGGATCAAAGACTAAAAGTTACAAGCTGGTTTAGAGACACGGAATCAAATATATGTGACTCAGACAAGGAACAGCTAATTCAAATTTGGGGCTTTGCTGCCAGGTTCTATGCATATTTATTCAGAAGTATGTCACACTTAGTTCTTTGTGCCCTATCCCAAAATAAGCATGCAAAGAATTGTAGTTGGAAAATAGCACACAGTGGACAAAGGACTGTAGCTGTAAAAGAGTAAAAAACCCTTTATGTGCATAATATTTTCCATTTATCAGTTAAGCCACAAGCAGCCCAATTCCTGATAGCAGAGAGAAGAGGGATTTCAAACAAGATCTGACTAAACTGAATTCTTGAAGAATAAAATTTCCCAAGAATATCAATGCTTTCAAGTCCTTTACCACTCTCACCTTGAGAGAGCCTTTAAAAAATCATTTGGCTTTAACTCAGAGAAAGACAGTATCTCATTATATTCTATGTAAAATCATACTGATTTTTAGCCACCATGAAAGACAACAGGAAAGTTCATTGATGGAATACATTTTTAAATTCACAGAGGAACCTTGCTGGATCAAACCAGAATTCTGTATAGTCAAGCATCATTTTCCTAGATATCAGATACCATTGGCTCATTTTATATATAATTGGCCAGGGTCCCACTGCAAGCCAACAACAAACAGTAGCTTTTATTGTAAGTTGCCTTGAGACTTCGGTAGTAGGTGGCATATAAATGGGAGTATGAAAGAAAAAAGACAGACGACAGACAGAATACGCAAGCTAGAATTCCTGGTTTTATAAATGATCAGCCCAAAATGATAAGATAGGCTTCCCTAGAACCTGGCTTATTGTGATGAGTCCTTCTACAAACTCTGTTTTGAGACTGAGCCTAAGCTGTAGACATCATGGCCAGAACATCTGGTCTAATCTTTGTACTTTATGTCCTTTCCATATTCTACCTTTTGGCCTGATGAAGAGACCTGGAAAACAAAAAAGCTTGCATACTCCTTTGTGCGTTTTGATTGGTTCCAATAAAGGTATTACCCAACAGTATATTCTGTATTTATTTTTAACCTGGGATGTCTCTCATAAACCAAAAGGCCTCAGTTTGAGTAGACCTATGTAACTTCATTTATCTGTGCATCAGTGTACAAAAACGAAAGTCTCTGTGGCCCTTTAAAGGAAAACACATGTATCCTGGCATAAACTTTCACGGATCATAGCATTTGTACATCTGATGAAGTAGATTACAGTTCATGATAGAATATTCTATCTATTTATTCTAGAATAAAGGCATAATTCTATGCAGTGTTTTTGTAAAAAAAAAAAAAAAGGTGCCGGAACTCACATCCCGGCCGGCAGTAAGCACACACCAATCCCAAGCCATGAGCAGCGTCCCCAGCAGCTCTCTCTCACTATCAGATAGCAGACACAATAGCAACCTGCAGGCACTATGTTAATGAAGTTTGCTGCTGATCTGCTACAATTCAAAATCACTTCGTAAAATCCATTGAAAAAAAGGTGCCGGAACGCCGTCCCGGTGCGTTCGATGACAAAAAAAGTCCTGATTCTATGAATGCTTAGACAGAGAAAGAAGTCCTACGACTACAAGGCTAAATGTGTTAGTCTTGGGGTTTTTTGCTGCAATAAACACTTTTTTATTTTATTTATTTATATATATAGCGATTTATATCCTGCCTTTTTCCTACAAAGGGCTCAAGGCAGCTTACATCATCTCTCCTCCTCCATCTTATCCCCACAACAACAGCCCTGTGAGGTAGGTTGGGCTGAGAGTCTGTGACTGGCCCAAAGTCACCTCCTATGGCTCAGCAGGGACTAGAACCCAGATCGTCTGAGTCCCAGTCCCGTGTTCTCAAGCACTACACCACACTGGCTCTTACTTTTGCTGTAAAAAGCCTGTCTATCCTGTGGAACGAGTCTGTACACACAAAGAAACGCTCTCCAGTGCGTGGCCACGTTAGTCTATTACTCTGTATATTTGTATGTATATATGCATGTACACAAACAAGGTATGTAATCATCAACGGCTGCACGAAAAGTCCGAGCGGGTAGCGAGATGGGCGGGGGGGAGCCGGCTCTAATTGCCACTCAACCCTGAAGCTCACGGGCTGCCTTTGCGCCAGCCTGACACGCCTCCCAATTGACCTCACAGGAGTCTTGTGAGAATAAAATGGAGAGGATCTTATCTAAATCGCCTTGGCTTCTTTGAAGGAGGAAAAAAGTCGGATATAAGTAAAATTAGCCAAGTCTAAGTAAAGCCCGGGCTTGCTTCTTGCAGCCCTCGACCGTGCCCAGCGCGCGGCGGGCCCTTTAAGGGAAAGAGCTTTGGGGCGGAACCTGCCCTAAAGTTTTGCCCAACTTTTTACCGAGCGAGTGAGCTGCCTGGCCTGGCGAGGCGAGGCTGGACGGCGTTGCTGCGTATGACACCGCCGCGTGAGACGGAGACGCCCCTTTCTCCGCCGCTGGCAGCCCCCTGAAGAGCGCCGTGGCGTTCCCGCGGCCGGCTGGCGGAGCGCCGTAGAGTCGCCCCTCGGGGAAGTCGCCGCCGCCGCCGCCGCCCCGCATGGAGTACCTCACCACCTTCACGGGCAAGAGCGGGCGCCTGCTGAGGGGCACCGCCAACCGCTTGTGGGGCGCCGTGCCCGGAGCCGGGAGCCTTCGCCAGGTCCGCTTCGAGGACTCCATACATGAGGGGGAGCCCCCGCTAGGTAGGGCCCTCTCGGTTGGCAGGGCAGTCGCGGTGCTCGAGGGCTGGGGAGAAAGTTCGCCCGTCGGGCGGGGCTTGCCGGGGACACTCGCCTCCCTGCCCGCGGCTGCTGCCGACGCGTTGCAGCCCCCATAACGCATTTAACTCGGGAGTGTCGCGTGAAGGGTTTCCTAGCAGTGATGGGGCGTGGAGAGTTTGAGGGTCAGTATTGGGCTGAGGAGGGATCTGGAGTAAGCGACGGAGGACTTTGCTGTGAAAGTGAGGAAGGCGACGTGGACTTCAGAGTAAACTCTTGAGTTCGGCGTACCGAAACTGGAAGACCCGCCCCCCTCAGTCTTTTATCCATCTTGACTGCAGCTCTGTGCTTTTCCAGGCTTGGTTGGAAGAAGCTGGCTGGGAAGGGTCGGAAGCGTTCAGCAAAATGTTTTGGGGAGCCCTTTCGCTCCTCCACACTCCTATAGTGGGCGCAGCCCTGTGTGCAACCTTACGAAGAGACTTTTGGCAAATTGTGTTAGGCCTGCTGGGTGCTGGGAGAGGCTTGCCCTGAAACAGCCACTGCCATCGCTCACGTTCCTGCCCTCCCTGTCTGGGCGGTGCAGCTGAGAAGAGAGGGCCTGCTGAGGTCTGCCGCTACCATCATGCCTTGAATTAAGAGAGCCAAGATATGCAACAGGGCAGAGGGGACGGCCACCTCTGAGGAGTATAGGAAGCTGCCCTACACCAGGTCAGACCATGCGTCTGTTTGGTCTAAGATTCTTGACACTGGTTGGCAGTGACTTTCTAGAATCTTGCCTCCCCCCCCCATTCTATCTGGATGTACTGGGGTTGAATCTGGGGTCTGCTGCATGCAGAACAGTTCTCTTAAAATCTCAGCCATCTTTCTAAGTGGGATCTTTCCCAGGGATGTGAGTCCCACCTGTTGTACAGACAAAGAGGGGCCAGTGACAAAAAAGCAGCCCTCGGGAGTGGCTGCTGCCCCTGTATCTGAGTTGGACAAGTGACCATTTTAAAAAGCTCATGTTTTGATCAGTTGTCCTCTTCCCCTGAAGCTTTGACCTGTCTGCCCATCCTTTTTCTTTGGATGATGGAGCAAGAAGGCTTGAGCTTAAGCATGGCTGGAGGTGGGGGAAACCCTTTGCAGCATTGGGTTGCAAGTGAGGTTACTCTGCTCACTTGTTTGCTGGCTCCCTGAATGTTGTGGAGGGGAGGGCGAGCTTATTGGACTCAGACTTTGCCATTGCACCAGTCTATATGGTGCAGTGGAAATTGCCTATGTGGGTCATGCCTCCCTCTAAGCTGGGTCATATCAGTGAGTTTACTATCATTTTATTTCTGAAGATTTCCTGGGAAACAAAGTCAAGAGATACAACCATCAAATGCAGGGGTCAGCAGACCTAACTGTCTTTTAACTCTTGTGCAGAAAGAAAGGGGGTTTTAAGCAGATGTAGCTACGAGAAAATCCAGTTCCTTTTTTCCAAAAGCCCTGTCTTGCCCACGTTTTGTCATCCCAAGAAAAAAGAGGATAATAGTAAGATATATCAAAAATGTTGATGTAAATTGGAGGTACTAAATCAAGGAAAGGATTTCAGTCATGGATTATTTCGTATTATTTGGGTTTATATGTATTTATTGGATTTTGACTTGTAAGCCGTCCAGAGACCTGCAACATATTGGACGGGGTAAAAATACTCAAATAAATAAATAAATTTCTCCCCCTCTTTTTTATTAGGTATGAGGGCAAGAGGAGAATAAGTATAAGGAGTAATTTGTATTTTACTGTTTATAAGCCACTGTACAGGAGGGAGTTGGGACAAATTGGGAAGGCAGAACTGCGCAATGTACTTAGGTGAGTAGCTTGTAAGTGCAACAAGTCACTGATAGAAGAACATGGGTTCACTGGAGATTAGACTGCTTTGATTTTGCTTGCATTGGCCCAGCATCAATTCTGCAAGTGCAGTGAGAATTTGATGGCTGTTTGCTTTTCTCTGAAGTGGAAATGAGATTCCATTATTTTCCTCTGTGCTCCATTTTCCAGGTGTGAGGAATGTAGCTGGCTGTTGGGCCACGCTGCAAGTACCCCAAGTTGCTTTTCCATTCACCTGTAGGGCCCTCAAATGTTTGTTGGTGATGCGAACATTTTTGTATAATAGGCTCACTTGTGTGTTGATTTACTTCCCATCTTTAGAAGAAGAAACATAGGAAAATGATGAACTATAGAGCTTGTCCAGTATTTCAGGTGTCTCTACTTATCCATAAAATGCCTCACTGATCACCTGTGTATCTAAGATGGTAGAACCCTGTAGGGATATGTTCCTTACTGACTTATGGGACACATCAAAAATGTAATGTATGGGTGAGCTATGTCTGTTATTTCAAATATGAATCATAAAGGTCCACTGTTTCCTGTGGAAAGCTCAGATACACATTTGGCTGCAAACTTTGGCTTCCTGGCAATGTATAGGTAGAAAGACCAATGTTCTAAAAATGAAAAAAATGTGATAAGATTTGTTCTGGTTTTTTTAAAAACTTTGCAAAGTTGGGGTTTTCAAAAACAGAAAATAATTCTTGCTGCATGTTGTAATCCACTTAAGGAGACCAGGAGAATTGGGCAAAGGGGAAAGCAGACAATTCTTTAACCTTATTTTGGTTTAAAACAAAAATTTGTAGCTTCCTTATTTTTGAAAATACCTTTCAGGTGGAAGTAGACTTCACCAAACTAGAGTAGTTGAAAAAATTGACCAGCTGTTAGTTTTTTTCTATTCTTTTAGGCTATTCATATTTTGAGTCCAAAGGGTATTTATCATGAAATAAGAACCAGTTTAATTATGTAGCATGATTTGTTTTAATTAAATAGCATGTATAGTCATACAATATTAAAATGTTTTGGGGAATGGGTTAATGGAATTCATTTACCAATGTCATGTTTGTCCAGGAGTTTCTGTAAGATTACTGGGCAGATACTCTATCCAGAAGATACTTGGTTTTGTAGTTCTCAAAACTGTGAATTTGTGTCTACAGAGATCACATGCTTCTTCACAGGAAAATGTTATAAAATAAACATACAGAATTGAGAAAAAGACCTTAATCTCATTGTTCCTTTGAACATCTGCTTCTTACTTCTGAACTGCTAAGTTTAAAAAAAGCAATGAATAGAAAAAGATTGTTGGGAGTAGAATAGGTCTGCATAAGAAGCTAAGTGTGAAGAGAGAGCAACAAGCAGTTAAAAGGAAAGTGTGAAATGTTTTGAGCAGAATACTTCATAAGTCTTTGGCTCTTTTTGTGTGTAGCCTGAGGTTCATCCTAATATTCTTTCCTTGGAGAAAACCTATAATGACAGCAGGCCATAAAAGAGACCCCAGCTCAGGAATGTTGTAATAAAGTTCCTCTGGCTGTTGGGAAGGCATGCATGCTTGCAAATTATGTAGAAAGTCATGATTCATTTTAGTCTTACTGACTAGTGATTTAACTCAAGATTTTAATCAAATCCACTCGTGTATAGAGAAAGATTGCTAGCTAGGGGAAAGTGCTTAGGAGATACAATGTCAGTGACTATGTTGATAAACCCTAGTTTGGCTGAAATGAGAGAGAATTTAAAAATCAAAGTGAACTGTAAATAAATGCTTGTTTTATGAAGAAGATGTGAAGTCACTGAATGGCCTGTTTGTTCCCTTTAAGATTTGTGGGACACAAGACCATGTGGGCAGAATAATATCAATTTTCAGACTCAAGATATATACTGTACTCCCTTGTTTGATTTACAGAAGCAGATTTCATGTAATCTCTACTTGAAGTGCATGTGGGCTGAAGTTAAATACTTGCAAGATCAAGATGCATTTTATTTCCCTTTCCTCACATTATATCTAAATCTTAACATTTAAGATTGGAAAGTCAAGAGCTGTTACTATTTCCCTAATATTCCTCAGTTTTCCAATGCTTTCTTTGACTAAATTACAGTTTGTTTGCTCTGGCCTTGCGGTAATAAAATGCAGTAGTATGCTAATGATGGTTCAGGATAGTAAAGCCGTAAGAATTATTTAAAACAGAGACAGGACCTGAAGAACAAGAGTGAAGTACAGGCTTTCCATGGGAAGTGTGGAGAACTGGTGGAAGATAAGTGGTCTGACTTGGTAGAAGAAATAGGAAAATTGTAGGATGGTATGCCTGCATACACCAGTTGGTGAAGAACTTGGGCAAGTCTTATGCTCCTTCTTGAGGAATCCTGTGGACAGTTGCTTTACCATCCTGTGAATTGAGTGCTGGACTAGATGGACGCTTTTCTGATCCAGTAGGGCTTTTCTTACGTTTTAAACATTTTACATTTTCAAATATAGAAACATTACATCCAGAAACAGATCTGTTCAGTGACATTGTGGAAACACTCCTAGAATGATTTGGTCTCACTGGTTTATGCTGAATTTCAGTTAGTGTTGTATACCATACTTACAAATCCATGATTTATATTACTGTATAATATACTTCTGTACTTCTTTTCTCTTTTAAAAATCTTTCTCCTCTGAAGGTCATGCAATATTTGCATGCATTTGTACAAGCTAATCTGGTGAAGTAAGGGATTGGTACTGAAACCTTTCCCTTTGATTTGCCATTGAATGACAGTGTTTGACTAGGAACTTTTGTGCATAGGCCAGATTGTATATATCTTATAGAGGTAGCATAGACTGGGCTTACACTTACCTGATTTAACTGGATGCCCATCACATGGATGTTACGCAGGCTTGGAGGCGTGAGGGGAATAAGTGCATGAGTGAAAGGTTGCAGTGCTGTATTATTATTATTATTATTATTATTATTATTATTATTATTA